GGTCAGGGCCCCTTTTCAACTCTGATAATTCCCCTTTTAATAATGATACGTGCCCCTTTTACTTTCTAATAAGGGACCTATCCCCTTTTCACCTCTCATAAATGCCCCTATCAAAATCTGATGGGTGCCCCTTTTCCGTCAACAAATGCCTATTTCCCATTTTCGTAAACGCCTCTTTTTCATCACTGGTGAGTGCCTCTTTTCAGGTGAAAAAAATGCCTCATTTTCACCTCATATAATTATCCTTTGTACTTTGACACGTGCTCTTTTTCTTTTCTAATAAGTGTCTTATCCCTTTCGATAATTGTCCCCTTTTCATGTAAAGCGACTAAGAGAAATTTCCCCCAAAGTTCGCTCGCTGCACTCGCTCGCATTTAAAGATGATATAATTATGTTACTTATCAAAGGTCTTTTCAGTCTTCCGTTATGAGAATGTGCTTATAACCCCATCACGATTGGCTTTTTTCCTCTTTATAAGATGTAATTTTTCGCACTGCGACCTCACAGATCTTTAAAAATTTTCTCGCTCGCTTCGCTCGCTCGTAAATGCATATTCAGACATCACACCCAACTGTAAAGTATGATGCTTAAGCGATATATATGTATGAAGAGAAACAAATATTGAAATCATCCCTGATAATGTAATCACAATGTAGGGGTATATACCAATGTCTAACAAATTGTATATTTTCGCTTCGAGATTTCCCACTGTAGGTGCCCCTTTTTTCCAGAAAGTGCCCTTTTTTGTTGGTGCCCCCCCCCCCCACTTTGGAAGTCGCTCGGCCGCCCCTGATTGGATGGATAGTAACTTCATAAAATGTCGATATATTTGGATGCCCATGCTGATGTATTATAAGCACTAAAAAATTTAGCCCCTAAAACACTTCTGCTTTCGACAAAATTTGAATAATCAAAATTTACCGGTGCTCCCAGTAAATTTCAAATATTTCAAATAGCGCCCAAGGCCATTCCATGGTTGCTGCGACCATGAAAATCTCAGAATATGCAGTTCTGATATATAATTCTCAAACGGAACAGCAAATCAGTCAATTTTAGTCGAGAAACTTTGTTTTAAAGCTAAAGTAATATCAGCCTCGAGAGAGAGCTATACAACATGAAGAGTTTATTATTTACAATTTCATCACTTTAGACTCGATTTCAACCGAGACAACAATCATTGAATATTGTAAAGTCGCATATGCTTCATTTGAACCAAATTCATGACCCCATACCAAAACTTTGTAGTACCTTTGATATCTTTACTACATTTTTATTAACTTTGTATTACCTTTAATACCTTTATTCCCTTTGATATTGCACGTAAATCAAAAGGTAAGGCGTTCCAAATGAGTAAACCTTAGTAGTGGAGGGATCTTTTGAAATAGGCGGTTCTCCGTTAAGAGTGGGGAGTTAGCAGAATATCTTGTATAAATGCAAGAACATATTCAGGGATTAGCTCTCTACTGCTTGGAGTGGGGGATCATTCCATTCTAATATCATTCTAGTGGAAAAGGAGTATTGCCCCGACTCAAACTACAGGGGCCCGTTTCAATGACAAATGACAGAAATCAGTGACAAATCTGCTGATGACCAATCAGAAGCAAGGATTTCAGTAGCTTTTAACAAAAACTGTCATTAGTCACTGATGACAAGTTTGTGAAACGCCCCCAGATGATGCTTCTTTATTCCACGACGGTAATTAAGAAGAGCCTCCGTTTAAACTTTGAAAATGTCTATTACAAAGCAATGTTTTGAATGAAATTGTATATGCATTATCTCACACTGAACTGTTCCTCTCTTCCACGCTCTCTCTCTCTCTCTCTCTCTCTCTTTCCCTTTCCCTTTCTCCTTCTCTCCCTTTCTTCCTTTCTTTCTTTCTCTCTTTCTTTCTCTCTCTTGTCTCTCCTCTTTGCCATCCAGTATGAAGTACGTTTAGTTTATGGCTGCTACCAAAAATAGACAGTTTTTATCTGAAATTTTTAACAACTGATGATTAATTATTTTAGATCTTGGCTGTGACTTGTTCTTTTCAAGTTTCAAGTTTCAAGATTATTTATTTCACTTTATCAAAAATAACATAATTGAACATAATGAACAATGGTAATTATTATAACTAAACATACAATATAGAAAACATAATGTACATGATAATAGTTATAACAGAGAATACAATCATATAAATCAATTAATAAAGTGGGTGATCTACTAAAAAGCAAAGCTTGTATTATGTAGGTCCCGGTTTATAGGTTTGTGTATAAATAAAGGTATTTGAATTAACAAATTTACAAAAGCATTATGATTACACGAGGGTTATCTTTAAGTGACACATTTTTATTACTAAACATATCGTAAACAATTGAAAAAAGGAAGAGTTCTCTGCTTTCTTCAGCATAAGCAAATATATTATACATTAAATAAAATCATCAGTGCTTATTTTAGCACTATTTGTGACATTGATTGTTGTCGTGTATCTTTTCTGCAATTTATTTAAGTTAGTATTGTCTGTTGGGAGCCAGGGGAGTACAAATAATCAAATAATTTCCCCGGCTCTCAACAGAGAGGTTAAATTATATTAAATTGTTATGTTATTTATGTTATTTGTAGTTTTTTGTCTATGATATGTTAATGTATCGTTGTATGTTATACAAATGTGAGCCGTAAGACGATTTTTATGCCTTCATTTTATTTTGTGCATAACAATAAACAAATTCAATTCAATTCAATTCAATGTCGGATCTTGAACTTTATTTTCCACTTTCAACAACATGAAAAACATATTGTCAAAGATGACAAATAAATATAGAACAGATATCAACAATTATCATACATTTAGATTTGAAAAAACATTTATAAAACTAACAAAACTTATATAGTTTACATAAATGAGGAGAAAGTTAGATAGATAGATAGATAGATAAATGGCATTTATATATAAATGCTAAATACCATAAACAATTAAAAAACACTTAATGAACATAATTTCTACCACAGAAAAAAACCAAAGGTATAAACATAATTACATGCCAACATAATATGGACTAAGGTAAATTATACAACAGTCCGTCATGTTACAATATTGCAGTTGTGGGGTATAGTGGTAAAATAATCAAGGATAGCGGCAAGAGCAGGGTGTATGAACATTTAGTAATATTTGAAATATTTATTCAAAATTAAAAGTAAAATGCAATTCAATATCATTAAAACATACCGGTACGATATACAAAATCATTACAAGAATGTACAGAAATTGAGACATTTCAATGATAAATCATTACAATAGATATAAACATGAGAAAATTAACTATTATTACACAGGCGAATCAAATTTGGAATAGGACTATTTTGTATGCGACTGGTTTTACATTTAAAATCTGGAATTTTCTTTGAATTTCTAAGTGTTCTAATACAATGTTTTTGTAGGAGAAATTGTTTAAATTGGTCAGTGAGTGATAGAGTTTTTTGAAAGAAAGTAACACATAAATATTGGCTTCTTTCATCTAATCTTTGTAATTGAGATTGTGCAAGTGAAATTGTATAGTTATCATAATTCCTACGAAAAATTATAAATAGATTATTATAGAGGACCAATATGAAATATAACACAACTTGAAATGTAACAATCCACACAAAATTTGGGCTATTTTTCACGTGAATGAATCATTTTAGAAAATATTATAGCCCAGTCAAAATAATGTTTCCCTAAACAAATTGAAATGTACATAATCATAAGTAATATGCAATGGATATGATAATTATATAAGAGGAAGAGGAAGGTCATTAGAGAGGAGGAATACATGAGAAAAGGAGGAAGAGATAGAGAGGTGGGTGCAATCAAACATTGGTGAATATACGGTTAAAGATATCAGGAACCGACTCTCTTAAATTAACCGCTACAGTGGCAGTAGTATGTACATTTGGGTGCATTGGGTTATCTACAGAAATACCAGTGCTACCATCATTGGAGAGGCCTTAAAGCCCCACTGTCCTACTTGTAGCTACTTGCTCCCTCTATATAGAAAACTTCACAATCGGTGCCTGTTGGTCCCCCATGATCCTCTTTTTATTATGTTAGTTGAGAGCTGAGTTAATGAGATAGCCACCTGTCAGTGACCTGTGGTCTAATCCCTTCTGGCCCAGTAGCATTGGCGGTCTTTAAGATGGGCTTGTGATGCTTTAATCCTTTAAACGGCTGATACTTCTCAGCTTTTATTCTGATGCATGCAGGCACAAGGCTTTAAGTCCTCTTAATGCCAATTTACGCCATATGATTGCTGAATTCAATATAACAAGTCCAACTTAAGTCGATTTTAGTCTTACTCTGATCCAGTGGTTGGCCATGTTCACAGTTCTCCCGTATATAGGATGATGCCCTGTCAGTTTCTTCTTCCTCTATGCAGTACACGTGCAAGGTTTGTCGTCGTTTTTAGTTGGCATGGATCTAATTAGATCCAGTTCCAGCGAATTCTTCACACATAGAACTCCCAATCTTATGATTTTTAAGTTACAACCATCCTCTTAATAACTTAATACTTGTTGCTTGTAAGTGTCGGCTTGCATGGTGATGTAGATATACAGTAGGCTTGCGGGTGCACCATGTGAGAGAGAGGAAAGATTGAGGAGTCCTGAAAAGGTCTCTCGGTAATCTTTCTTGAGGGTGTGTTAGTCCTGAAAAGGACTGTTAGTATAGTTTTGAAAAGACTGTTGGTTGAAAAAGACAGGTTGACTATCCTGACGGACAGTCAACCTGTTTGAAACGTCGATCCACTCCCTCTACTCATCCTCTCCAAGCGCTATAGTTCTCCCTAGAACTATAAGCTAAGAAATGTAACCAACAGTCTTTTTTAAGACTATACCAACAGTCCTTTTCAGGACTAACAAACCCTCAAGAAAGATTACCGAGAGTCCTTTTCAGGACTCCTCAATCCTCCCTCTCTCTCACATGGTGTACCCGCAAGCCTACCTTATAAAATACTTGCATTTCGACACTATCATTAAAATCTTCACGAACAGCATTTTGTTTTAGAGCATTTCATATCACAAGCCCATCGATCGAGGAGCAAAAAATGTCGAAAATTACGACGGAAGTGCCTGTTAGTGGCGGCATATATGAACGGATTAATCAAGGAGTTCCCCCACACAAGCGCATTTGTGACCTCCCAGTTAAGGTATGTCACGCATTTGGTGCCACAAATGGAAAACATGACACTCGTGATCTGAATGGGAACCCAACAGACCAGGAAACACCCAACAAGGATGCCCAGGACCACAGCGGCTTTCCGATGCCTGGCGAATGTCCATCCTTCTGTCTTCGATGGGTCTCTGGGTGCATTAAGACTTGTGCTAGGAGCATATTTATCGGGACAAGGTTCGGCAGGTAGGGCTGCGGAAATGGATTTGCTGGTGGTGGCCTTTAATGAATCAGGCGTTAGGCGTCGGGCTCCTGGACCTGGTAAATCGGCCGGTGGGAGAATAGGAGGACTAGGTCCTACGATGCCTCTAGATCTCTGTCTAATGTTGTTATACACCGCTATATTCAGACTGAGCAGGATAGTGAACGGGATGAAAAACTGCAACACATTGACAATCAGGGTGATGACAAGATGGCCTGTGAATTCGAGCTCGCAGTTATAAGTATAATCCACGCTGTATTGTCCTGTTAATGGGCTCCACGCAAACGCAAGGAACGAGTACCATAGTAAAACGGCGGTCCATGTCGAGAACAGGATCAGTCCAACGCGCTTCTTGGTCTGAAACGCTTGATATTTTATACCCATCGACAAGACACAGTAACGGTTCCAGCTGATCATCACCAAGGTTAGAGCAGACATCATTGTTATGGTGTAGTCCACTATCAGCCATACCTTGCAGACGATCTCACCGTGTACCCACTCATCTTTGATCAGCCAGGAAATGTTGACGGGCCACATGAACGCACCGACGATGAAGTCCGTGATGGCAAGGTTCAGAATAAAAAGGTTAGCCACTTTGAAGCGTATGCAGTGGTCTCGAATGAACGCCACAATCACCATCAGGTTCCCGATAACCGTCACCGAACTGATGAGTGAAATTACCAATGGAACAATGGCGAGCCATGCTGTTGAGTATGGGTACACGTACATGTCAGAACTGTTGACAATTGATCTCGTGTTATTTGCGTTCTCCATGGTTAATATGCTCTCAGACACAATGATCTTTATCCAAAGTCTCGATGATAAACTTCGTAATTGATTTTAGTTCGGTAGCCAGAGCAAGCAAGTTCAGCTCTGTATTAAATCAAAGTTAGATACTAGGTGTCGTGGTATAGAGGTTTTATTCACTTGACTTTCAATCTAAGGGTTAAGGATTCGAATCTCAGCCTGGCAAATCTATTGGCAAGATATTCATCTACATTTACTCTCCACTCAGGTGTAAATGGTACCCTGCTATTGCTGGGGTAATAATAACGGCAGGACCCTCGAGAAGAACAGTACTGAGGCTGATGAGTTGTCCCTGGGTAAACAAAAATATTATTATATCATTATTATTATCGAGGGGCAGCATTCCCTTTTGAGTATGTCTTCATGGCAAGATAATATGTAACCAATATCATATGAGGTTTATTCAGCGACGTGTCCTTGATTTAGAAAATCCGGTAAACTTCAAACTGAAGGAGACGACATTATGTTTTGAGATGAATTAGGTTACGAGACGTTAAAAAAGCTTATGCTTGTGTCGACTGTAGATATTTATGTAGATCGGTGGAACGGCACTGATGTCTTCTACAAAAGCCATATATATTCATATTTGTCCTGTTAAAAAAGAACAAAAAGAAGAAGGGGATAAAGGGGAAGGAGAGAAAAGGAAAAGCAACGACCCTTTTCCCCTGAATCTGTCAAATTCAGTTTATTTTTCGAGTATTTTTTTTAATCAGTCGAAAGCTGAACAGAAATCTTTCTGGTGTTTTATATCAACTCATGTACGAAATATCCTGAATGTAAGAGACATATGTAATGAAATTCTGTGGTATAACAGTAACATGAAACATGAACGAAATGTTTTTTTTTTTTTTTAAATGGAATGTAAACGGAATCTGTAAAGTTAGCGATGTATTTGTAAACGGTCAATGGGTGTCAAACAACACTCTCTTCGAACGTTTGGGCACAAGTTCTTTATTAGATAGCTTCAAACTTTCGAAACTAAAAAGAGATTTTCGAAAAGTATGGGTAGAACAAATAAGAAATACCAATTTTTATCCAATTGCAACAGAAGTTTCTAAAGGAATGTTTGAGATATCGAACTGCGACTCATGAAAGCAAAACACTTTTATATTCTTTTGAATGAGTTCAAAAAAGAAAATCCTCCGGTGTCATTGTTTTGGCAGGAAATACTGCAACTACCAATCAATTTTGAGTGGAGGCATGTTTTAGATTTTAAATTTAAAAAGATCAAAGACAACAGAGTAAAACAATTTAATTTCAAACTGCTTCATAAAGTTTGACCCTTTAAAGATAATCTTTACAAGTGGAAAATTACATCCGATATGCTTTGTACATATTGCAATGAATCAGAATCGTTTATACACATTTTGCTAAGGTATCGCCTAGTCGCAGTCTTTTGGCAAAAAATTCATCATCTGGTAGCGAACTTGTTCCAAAAAGATATTGAGTTAGGAGAAAAAAATCATATTAATTGGTTTCAACATTGAAGACCCAGAGTTTCTGCTCATGAACGTACTAATTGTTTACGCACAATATGCAATTTATAAGGTGTATAAATCATCTTAGAAGTAAATCCTTCAATAGTCATTCAATTTGGATGACTTTCAAAGGCGATTTTATGTTTTATGTCAATTGGCAATACAGAAACCAAGAACAATTAATAAGTAATATCAAGATGAATCTTTCTTAGTTGAACCTTTAACGCATTTATATTCATGCCTTGATCTTTCCCTTCCACTTTCCTTATGTTTCCCCTATTTTATTATATCAGTTTGTTGATTGCGAATATATATATATCTATATTGTTATTAAACTCTATATGCAATGTTGTTAAAATGATATAAAGTAATAAAGTGCCTCGTATAAGGAAAAGAGAAGAAAAAAAAATCCTGAATGATTGCTGTTTTTCCCCCTTTTGTTTATTCACCTTTATAACTTTTATTTTCATATAGCTTAATACAGTCATGAACACAACATCTGAAACATTTCTCAAGCAGGGCCTTCGCTGTGCAATGCTCTCCCTCAAGAGATTCTTAATAGCAGATCAGTTGAAGTGTTAAATAATAATCATAAATCGGATCTGTTTGATTCGGCATATAATTAATTGTCACTTGTCACTTTTCTTTGTTAAATCTTACTTCTGCTTCTTTGTTTATAATCACAGATGCTTTATTTTATACGATCTCTTTTTTGTTTAACACCAGTATCCCTTGAGCAATTGATTTCAAATGGATTCGGCGCCTTACAAATCTCATATATCAGCTATCATTATTGTGTTTATTATTGTTATCATTATTATTATCATTATTAGTATCATTCTTAGTCATTGCTCTAGGAAAAGGAACTGCAGAAAATAGGTAAATATAAAATACATAACTTACAACGTTTTAAATTAGCCTAACCAGGTTAAAAGGGCATCCGAAATGGAGAGAATTAGGCTAAATAATGTCTTTTTTAGGAATTAAAACAAAAACGGTTACGAGAACACTGCTCTAAACTATCACGCCTCATCATGGTGCAGAGGGAAGTGCAAATCAAAATGAAAGCAACCTACCTCTTAAATGTTGAAATGCAGACCACAAACTGCATGAGAAGAAATAATCTTGACTAAGATTAGAGATAACCGGCGGCGCCAAATCGTGAACGAAAATTGAATATCTGCTCAGGTTTCTGAATAGTCGTTGTCGCTGTCCAAGTGCGTACTGATGATCAGAAGCGAGAGACCGAACTTTAAAATCGGAATATTTTGAACGTTCTACAGGCTTTACGTAACGAATAGTTACCATGGTTACTGGGGAAACCTCGCAATACGAGATTAGTTATCATAACTTTATATAACACAGTAAATTAAGCCCGCCCCGTTTCAGGCCTCAGGCTATATGCGTAAGCCTTAAGAAGCGGCTATGGAGAATATCACAATTGAATAAATAATCATGACACTCAGGGACAGGGGCGGATCTAGCTTTATGCTGATATGTAGATCCGCCCCTGACACTAAGTATATTTAGAAAGTGGATCAAAATCAGTTACTTCAGACAGTAGGATATGCACTACGTCTGTGTGCTTGCGTGACAGAAAAGTGGTGTGCGTGTGTGTTTGAGGGAGTGAGTGGCGATAGACGGATTATGTATGCAGCAAAAATATGCCAATGCGCGATGCAATAACAACTCCCTTTAGAATATTAGCTTAATTTCTTTTTCTGTGCCATGATATTGATCTCCCTGCGTCAGTTGTAACACGGAATTCAAGATTATATAAACGTTCCCTGTGTACAACTAGTGCCTGGATTACATTTGCCCCGGGCGCCGTACGATAACTTAGTCTACGATTTGTCGTAGACATCGTAGGAGGCTACGGGCTGCGATGTTTGTATTTACATTATCAACGAGCATCGATCGTGCCATTTATTGTATTGGCCCTCGGGGGCAGGCCGGGGCAAATCCGTACGGAGGCTGCTCGGAGATTGTACGGAAATCGTGCAATTTGAATGCAGTAGCCGTGCAGTCTCCGCAGCTTCCGCACGGAAATCGTACGGAGCCCGTGCAGCTTTCCTGCAAAGGTTGCGCGGAGATGACTGCTCAATATCACAGATACTGCACGGGCAGCGAGCAGCAACCTTGCGATAGTTGTGCAATGGCCGTGCGAATGCCCCACGAGTCTACAATCTCTGTACGATTTTTGTTTGCCCCCATGTTTACCGAAAAATCGTACGTTTGCTGCACAATCAGTGCGAGGCCTCCGGGCAATGCCCGTGCGGGGATTGTGCAATGCCACCTATGACATGTATGCGGGCTACGGGCTTACGATAATTTCAAATTTGTTTAACTTCTCGCGAAACAAAATCGTAAAGGCTGCGGAGCCCGTGAATCCGTACGAAAATCTTACGGCCGCCTCCTGCCTCCGCACAGAGGCCGCACGGAAAAGGGGATACGGGCAGGATACGGGCTCCGTAGACTAATCGCAGGCCAAATGTAATCCAGGCATAATCTATACAGGTGTTAGCGGTGTTGTAAATCAAGATCAGGCGAGTGTTTCACAAAGACTAAAGCCCCTTTCACACCGGATTTGCGTAGAGTTGCGTAGTGTGGCGTACCGAGTACGCCGAAGTTAAGCTGCGTATTCATGACAAAAATGATGCTTCTGCGTAGTCCATGCGTAGGTTATGCGTAGGCTGGCGTACGATGGCGTATGATTACGTACCCTGTGCGTAGGCCTCGCGTACCTACAGTGTATGCAATTGGCGTACATTCGTGTACGTACGCTTGCGTATGACAGGCGTAGGGTTGCGTACGCTTACGTAGGCCTGGCGTAGGGTTGCTTACAGTTGTGTACGGTTGATTACTGTGTGCGAAAGGCGCCGTGCAAATATGGAATAGACGCTCGTTTTTAATTTCAACAGCCTGAGTTTCAAAATCACAAATTGAATAAACCATAATAAAACACCACATGTCAGTCTGAAATACCTTGTAATAGTACACACAAAATTACAAGCACGAATACAAAATGAAGTCAAAGAAACACTTTTTCTTCATGAAAAGAATAAATGTGAGAACGCACACATGTAAACAAAAATATTTCCCTTCAAAATAATTATAAATACCTGCCAAGTTTACATCCAGGTATATGAAAGAAAATACTGTAATGCCCTCTACATTCCTATCAAATTATTCAGAGTTAAACATTCAGGTATTACATTATTGCTGGTTTCAAAACCAAAATACTAAAAGGGCAAGATTATTTGTAAACAGAAACAAAAATGTTGATTAAAGAAAATTTCACCTAGATGTAGAAGAAATAAACATGACTGGTATTCTTGTAAATACTACAACTTTAATGCCCTAATCTACAGTTTTATATAACAAGAAGAGTTACACGCACACAAGCACACTCCTGCTGACACTCTGGATGTTGTTACACAACTATAATTTTATCATGAGGTAATGAATACTATGATCAAATCAGTTTGA